TATCTTTAATTATAGAAATTGCCTATTGGGTTTAGGGTTTACTGACTTTCCCGCTCACAATATTTTGGCTTTTTCCCGCTCACAATATTTATTATTTACAGTAACACAGATCACTCTTCCCAAATTCCCCAACTTACGATTTTTCTTCGAGACTTCGAAAATCGACTGTTCACCTATCGTGTTTGAGAATCGACACGTCAACAATCGGTATGCCCCTGAATCATCTTTCATTAACCTTCTGTATCATATTCTCTGATCTATGACTATGGTTGTTGATTTCTTTCCTTGTGCTTCCACTATGGAGCAGTAGAGCATCCGTTGCTGTTTTCATTTTTTCTTTAGACCCGCGAATGTGTTGTTTTATATTATTATTCCACTTCAATAAGCAGAAGAATCATGGAAGTAGATTTCTCTAGGTCTTACATATGATCCATAACCATAGTATTATATAATTAGATCCAATTATATACATGGCTCCTGTGAATTTCTCGATTCCATAACCATGAAAATGGTAATCACTTGATTTCAACAGTAAACTCAAGTAAGTATTGACAGATTTATAGTCTATCTTTCAGGTTGTTGGAATGGAAGTTCCTGATGCAAGCAATTCAGAATGCGAGTTTGTTTCTGAAAACAACGTGGTTTCAAACAACAAAAGAAAGAGACCCTCGAACAAGAAAAACACCCAGAATGCAAAACCTATGAAGAAAGAAGTATCTGAATGGTGGGACCATTTTCAAGAAACGAAAATCCCCAATTTTGCTGAGTGTATCTATTGTCAAGATCTTGTTCCTTACGCAACAAAGAGCACAATCAATCATTTAATAAATCACATGCATGCTTGCAAAGAGTATCCACCAAATGTCGATCTAAGACAAGAACTTCATCATCTTGAGTCGAAAACACATCTGAGTGATGAAGCTTCTGTTGAAACTGTAACAATTCCTAGGTTAAGGGATCCAAACCAAGAAGCTCTTGAGAAAGCTCTTGCAAAGATGGTGATTGTTGATAAATTGCCTTTATCTTTTATCGAAGGTGAGGGTTTTGTTAGATATTGTAAGACTGTTAATCCTTTTTTTGTTATTCCTTCACGTGCTAAGCTACGCACCATGATCTTGGATGGAGCAACTGATGATGAAACACCTGGCAATGTTTAAGGTACGTTTTGAGTACTTGTGATTTTGAATTTCTGATTATGTAATAGTCTAACTAGTTCATTTTGATTCAACAACATTACTGAATTGCTGTTGTTGGAATGGATTTTTTTTGTTGATATTGATAGAATGAACAAAATGCTACTGGAAGCTGGATGGAACAATTGTTAAGAACAAAATGTTGTTGGAAATCTGGAATGAACAAATGATGTTTTGGAACATTTGTCTTTTATCTGTTTGGCTTGAACTTTGAGATTGAATAGTTAATGGTTAATTGTAACTGAGTTTTTGTTTTTAGATTTATTAAATGTTATAGTAGAAGGAATGGGTTTTTGGAGTGCCATGGTATTTGAATCCGTATCCAAAAGTTAGGGTATGGATTTGGATACTAAATTTCTCTATCTGAAATATTCAAAAATTCGGATATCTGGTTTTGAACACCCTTACTAAACAGATGTTTGCTCAATAAGTAATTGAAAAGACTATTAAAAACCCATAATCCAAACAATACAATCGAAATCAATAAACACATAACTATGCATCATAAGGTAAATGGGAATGCATGACACATAGGTTTCCCCTCCCCCCAAGCATGTATATAACACCTTGTAGAGAGCATAGACAATTGGCTATGTATTATTAATACCCATTTGATGCTTTCACTCTTGAATAGAATGGCGTTTTTTGAAAGAAAGAATAGCAATCTCCAAGAAGCTGGTAGATCTATAGTATCAAAATACTTTAATCATTTTGCGTAGAATCTACTAATTAGATACTCAAAACCGATTGTTAGTAATTGTAAAAAATAGAAAAGACTTTCTATGGAATGTTGAACAATATTAATTAGCGATAGGCTATAATCCGTTACAACTGTGCTTAGAAATCTCATAACGATATACCGACACTAATTTCCGTATATGAAAGTGTGTTTTGTTGTAGTAGTATTTTTGTTATTCTAAGTTGGGAAAATGACTTTGTAGGTAATGAACTATTAATTTTGTATATTTAGTTATTTTTTATACCACTTATTACCATTAAATTTATATTTGTTATTCAAGAAATACTATTTTGATAAGTTATTATAAAACTAGTTGGTTTATGTGTTCAAGAAAAACCAGTAACCTTATATTTGTTCTTTAAAAAACACCTTTAAATTTACATTTTCATAAACGATTTATTATGAGACTAACTTTTGTATACATTTATTCACTTTTAACTTTTCCAACAATCATCAAATTTATGACCATTTTCTCCGACCAACAAAATTCAAAAATAATGAAAACAACATTCTACATATTCATTTTATAAAACATTGCAAATCGCATGGTCTCCTCATTCTTCTCTCCGGTGAAAACGACACCGCCACTCATACCTTTCCCGCTCCTCTCCATCTCATGTTACTTAGCAAAAACTGCTATACCCCAAATCCCTCTACTGTATTTTTTATTGAATCGAGCGTCACTGGTAACTACATCCGTTCAAGAATTGGAATCTGAGTTTGAATTCATTGGAAGTTTGAACTGAATTTTAGGTTTGAATTTGGTTTTGAATCAATTTTAGTGCAGGTTGAAGTTGGTTTTAGATTTGTTACTTGGTAGCGGTGAATGGTAGAGATGAGTGGTTGTGGTGGTGAATGGTGGTGATGGAAGGTGGTGTTTGTAGTTAGAGGTGGCAGTCGGAGGTGGAAAATAGTAAGACCATCGCATATACCTAGCACGAGATGGCTCACGGTCTAGCTGGCGATGACCGTGGTCCGTGCACACCATGCCGACCAGTCGTGGTCCAGCGTTGTCGTTGTGTTTCGTGGTCGGGAGAACGAAGGAAAAAAAAAGACGCGACCCACTACTACCCAAGAAAAGGGTGACATGGACAAAAGAGGAAGAAGAAAAGCTAGCAGAGGCATGAGTTTCGGCTTCCCAAGACCCAATCGAAGGAGATAATCAAACCTTCAATTGTTTTTGGGAGAAAGTTTGAACCGTGTTCTATGAGTTAACGGGAAGTGAAAATCGAAATCCCGATCAAATTAGCTCCTAAGTGGTGCGATACTCGACTAAAATGCACCGAATTTGGAGGAATGTACAACAACCTCCAAAACATACGCAAAAGCGGGTCAAACGATTTAGATGTCTTTAAGGCGGCCTTGGAACAATTTGAAAAAAAACACCAACCCACAAAGATTTCCCGTATGTGAAAGCGTGGCTAAAATTGAATGACGCTCCAAAATGGATAAAACAAACGGAAGGAACTTCACAAACCTCTTCCGGTTCAAAGCGTTCAAGAAATCTGAATGCAACTTCCCAACAATCGGACGGGTGAACACACATCGACATCAACGATGATCTGCTCGATCTTGAAAACGAGCAACCTCTTCGTTGGCCCGTTGGAAGAAATAAAGCAAAAAAAGCGACTTCGACGTCTTCGGGATCTAGTGTTATGGATCATTTTGGAGACAAATTTGATCGATATGTGCAAGTTCAGGAGAACAAGGTCGAGATAATGAATCGGGTGGAAAAAAATGATTGAAGCGCAAACATCATTTCAAGAGGCACAAGCGACGCTTCAAACAAAAACTGATATGAAAATCTTGAAAATGAAATTGGACGACCTCGCAGGCGAATATTTGGAGCTTTTTCTCGTGATGAAAGAGTCCGTTCGAGCCCGACGTAGGAATAGGGGTAGTTTATTTTACTTATGTTTGGTATTTTTAGGTTTTTTATTTTTATTGTTATTTTTTTTTAATTTTAATTAATGTAATTTTTTAATGTAATGTGGTATTTTAATTTAATGAAAAAGTAGTGTTTAAAAAAAGTTATATATTTTTAATGTATTTTTGAATTAAATTTAATTAAAAAAATGAATTGGAGTGGTGTGTTTAGTGGTAGATTTCCCATGGTTAGTGGTAGAGAGTGTGGTGATGATGTGGCACCCACTATTATAGTGGTTAGTGGTGAGTATAACAGATGACCTAACAAGAGTGGAGGTGTTGGTTGGATAAGATGACTGCGACATAATTTAACGGTAAGTCATTTACAACAAAATGTTTAATGATAAATCGTGTACACAAAATGACATTAACCTGCAATACTCAGTCAAAATGGTAGATTTTGAACGCCGTGGACGAGTTTAAAGGTAAAATATGTAAAAAAAAAGTGGTTAAAATACGTACAAAAGTAATACTTCATTACTTTATAAAATCATTTTCATTTTTTTATGATGAATTTACATTCAATTTATGTTGATTATTACGTAGGGAAAATCCTAGACAAACTTAAAACAACCCTTATATTAATTTTTTGCTCAATTTAACCATTATTAAAGTTGATCTATCCCGTTTTTATCTTTATAACCGGTTTCAATTTAAAAACCGATAACATAACCCACCTGGTATCATTTACACAAAAAAATAGGTTACAAGGCGAGGCCGCTTCAAAATCATCATCTTATTCCTCTTCGTCTTCTTCCTTTACGTAACTGTTGCAGGAAACCGTATAAGCTATTGAATTTATTCGATAACTTTAGATTAGCCGTTCTTCTCAGTGTATGTGGAGTGTTCGATCGTGGAAGAGTTCAGGGGATGAAAATTCAGAGCTTGATCAGAGGGCTTTAACCACCGATACATGCTAATCAGAGTGCTTGAACCACCGGTACATGAAAAATCGGAGCTTGATCAAAGGGCTTTATCCAACTGTTTCAATGGTTTAGGGTGTTCGGGTGCCGGAAAGTGGGTCCGTGAGGGCTGTTGCTTTCGGTTTTAGCAGGTAACGGTGATGCTGGTATATTTTGGATTTAACAGCCGTGTAGTTTGGAGGTGGTTTATGGTGGGTTGGCGGTTGAAGGAGGCTATAACAGGGACGTATAAGGTGGTAATGGTGGTGTTCAGATGTGACAAGGTCCGAGGGTGGTAGAGGTTCTCGATGTTGTGGTCTCGGATGAGGGAAAGGGCAGTTTCTCGGTTTGGTGTGCAGCAAGGAGAGGTAAACAATACTTTTTCTTTTCTTTTTGCATGTTTCTTTTTCTTGTTCTCGACAACATCAAAGAAAGAAGCAATAATCCTTCACTTTTCTTTTTTCTTTCTTTCTTATCTGTTTGGTTTTTGCTTTCCGGTTTGTGTTGCAGGTTTGAGAATTGAGATGTTCGAGATGAAGAAGATGATGAACAGTGGGCTCTAAGAGGGTGATGGTCTCCAGTTCTGTGATTTTTTTCTTATTCTTTTGATTCACGCAAAAAACAAACAAAACTTTGTTTGGTATTTTTTATAGTTTAGAAAAACGTAATTGCAAACAATAAATCAAACCACACTTTGATTAATTAGAAAATAACTCAAAACCGACTGTTTAAAATTGTGAATTCTTAATCCTAAATCTCGATTAAGACATGTATATATAGATTCTAATCTACCGACTTATAGAATTAGAATAGGAAATTATGACCAACTTGCCATAAACTAGATTGCTTGGTTTCCAAGGTCTTTTAGACTTAGGTGATAACATTGCCATATGATTATGATAGAGAAAAATTACAAGGTTCTCAATGAAAAACATAAAGGCTACAAAGAATAAAGCGGATATAAATACTAGCTAGACAAAACCCTAATGGGCTAAAGACTATAGGGCCCATAAACACGTGGGATAATAATATATAGGCTAACACCCCCCCTCAAACTCACAATGCCACAACAATAAGCATTGAGAGTTTGTCACACAAGAACCGAAACCGAGAAGCCGATAGAGCCTTCGTAAAAATATCCGCAAGCTGCAAGGTTGATGAAACAAACGGAAGCGATATGGTCCCAAGCTGTAGGTGATGACGGGTAAAGTGACAATGAATCTAAATGTGCTTCGTCTGCTAATGGAAAACAAAATTCTTCGCAATTTGTATCGCACTTTTGTTATCACAATGCAGGGGAGTAGATGAAGAAATGTGAACTCCCATATCCGCAAGCAGCCACCATAACCAGATAATCTCAAATGTAGTCATAGCCATAAAACGATATTCAGCCTCCGTGGAAGATCTAGAGACAACGTCATGTTTCTTTCTCTTCCATGAAATGAGAGACTCTCCAAGAAATACGCAAAATCCAGTGGTGGATTTACGATCATGACGATTGCCATCCCAATCAGCATCACTATAGGCACATAACTCAAGAGAAGACGTCGAGGGAAACAAGAGGGTCTGAAACTAAGTGCCACGAAGATATCTCAGAATACAGAGTACAACTCCCCAATGAACTGAGGTTGGAGCAGTAACAAACTGAATAACAACATGAGAAATATCTGGACGAGTAACTGTGAGATAAACCAAACTTCCTAAAACAGTGCGATAAAGATTCAGATCGGACAA